CTTCAAGCTAAAAAATTGATTCTAGTTGTTCAGGAGACAAGTTTGCTCAACCTTTTATAATTGACACACATTAGCGAACGCAGTCATCTCATAGATTAAGTAGCCTTTGGCTCAGTAGCACGCCCACAGGAGAAGCCAGAAGTTCAAGGCACACCTGCACAAAATGCCAGTCCTTCTTTGGACTGAACTGTTGGACTAAGGCACTTTTGACGGGCCATTTGCCACATCTGGACCTAACATGATATCTGCAAGTGTGCCACTGCTCCACTGCCATTTACCTTGCCTCAGTCACCTTATCAAGCACTTTGGGACAGTCTAGCACATGGTTTTGCTGCCTGTGGTTCAAATCCAGCACTCGTTAGAGGAAAGCCACGTTCTCAGACAGCATGTTTGGTTCCCATGTGCCTCTTTACCTCACTTGGCACAGAGCTGAGAGCATGTCTACTCTTCAAACCTCAGACTCAGGGGGAACGGTGCAGTTTTGGTTCGTGCGCTCCACGAGCCGGCCGAGGGTGCATGGATGTTTATCCATAAGTCTGCTTGTGTTTTGTGGACCTGGAGGTGGTATTCGACTCCTCTGAGAGGTGAGAGGGTTCCTGTCCCTACCAATGGCTACAAGCTGTAGGTAGTGATCAAAAGAATAAAATCTCAAATACAGGCAGCAGAAACGAGGGTGTTTATATGTTGTGTGGTTTGCTCCACAATGATGAGTAGTTCTCCTTATTAAACTTCTGTCTATAAATCAGGTCCTTTTCTGTCATCCCTCACTCAAACCCTACCATCATACCAAATCTCCCTCTGACGGGTGTTTTAAAGAATATTGGGTGAGTTAATGAGTGCATTTTTGTTGCATACTTTTGCAGAATATTGTAATAATAATGTTTGTTTTTTATAACATCTGATGACACACTTATACGCAGTTTGGAAAACACTGCTTTAGGTGTGTGTGTGTGTGTGTGTGTGTGTGTGTGTGTGTGTGTGTGTGTGTGTGTGTGTGTGTGTGTGTGTG